AGCAACAATACATAATCCTCCATTCAGGAACGCCTCGTGATTTCAATTTCCAAATAACCTGGAATATATAAGGTTTTATCTATTTCAAGAATCTTTTGTGGCAATGTAAAAATGCAGATAGTTCGATGGGAGAATCTTGTATAACAACGCCTTACGTAATCTAAAGACGAGAAAAACTAACACAAACCGGAATAAACCAGTTTACTCCGATAAAATCGAATACTTCCACACAACATTGAAATCAAAGTATCATAAACTGCTACGAATCAAAAATGTAATTTGGAAATATGATAACATCGATTGAAATCTAAACAAAATAATAACGGGGGAAATTGAAGTAATTTCATTTTGCATAGTATATCACAGCTCAAAGATAAGAAGTTAAAAAAGAATTAAGTACCAAAAAGATCCAATGATTAACTGCGCTACCGGTAGCCTAGGCTCTATGTAACAAAAGCAATTCTCAAATATATGGACACGAAAGCCAAAGAAAAATAGCATCAAATCTGTTACAGTTCCGGTGTTTAACTCTGAATGACGAAACGATTCATATGTCTATTTCGTGTCCAAGGTCCGGTAGTAATTGAGAAAAGCAACTTTTTCACAACAACAAGAAGAAAAATTCAACATGACAAAATGACCCTTAGGTCCATTCCGTGTCCAACGGAACACGTAAGTCCTTGTCTGATAATTCAACAGCTTCAAATTCAAATGACAAATCAAACTGCGAAAGTTTTGGCGAAATATCGGTTTCCATTAGACCTGAAATTAGGGTTTTGTTTTTTTATCAATTTAAAAAAAACATCGTGTTTTAAAACAAGGGCTTGTTTTAAATCAACTTTTTCCTGTATTTTTAGTATTTTTTATTGAAATACCCCTTGCATCGCCGCGAAACTACGCCAAAACTTTGCATTCTGGCAGCTGCACACGCAGGCGAAATTATAATTTTAAAAATCTTATTGAAAATTCATATTTTGACTTTTACTTCTATTGCGTACATTTATCGCAACGTCTGTATCTCCACCAAAGTTATAAGATTTTAACCGGAATGTTTATCCGAGATACCAGAAGACGTTTTGATTAAGAAAAATCATGGAACTTAGTTCACGAGCCTACTACAAAAGCAAATAGATTAAGGGCAGGCAGTCCTCGGGAAAACGAGTCGGTTGCGATAATGAAGAATATGCTCACATCGCCGGCACCCTAATCTAGACTATGCTAATTGTAAGAGTCCTCTGATACAAAGACGTCAAACTAATCTGTTATAGCAACATAAAATGGATTTCGAGTTCGTGTATTGGCATTTTTCTCATAAAATGAAGGCATTATTGCGGTTAATTTATTTTTAGCACACGGTAGTTTGTTTTTGAAGTTCAAGTGATAGAGTTTTTCAAGATACAAACTCATTATTTGATCGCATTTCAATTTTCGAAAGGTGGTTGCGTCGTAGCAGGGTCGTTCACGTAATAGCTTATCGGTTGCGTCTTATTGCGCAAACCACTGAACTACAGTTTGAGAAAGAATGAATGAGCCTCTATCGATATTTGTGACGTTTTGAAGGATTTATTGCAAATAAGAAGCGCTTGGCAAGTTTTTACATTCATTTTTCTTCAACCTATTTAATACAAAAAATCAAATAGTACAGCCATTTTGAACGAAACAGGCAAAAACAAAACTTGAATTAAAACAATTGTTTTAAAACATTTCTTTCTAAACAAATCCCTACCTGGAGTAAATTTGAAAAAAAAAATAGTAATAGACTCCTTCCTAGTGGTCACAGCGATGTTCAAATAATGAATGTTGGAAACTGGTTGGTCCATTGATTAAGGAGAATGTAATTACCCCCAAAACAACAACAAATGTTTGGGAAAACGATACATAAGTACGAACTTTCGTGTTGAATAAAGATGCAATGGGGAATACCACCTGAAATTGAATTTTTGGACATGAAGTGGATTGTTGTTACGCTGTTGTAAGTATTCTGTTGGTGCCTCTTTTTCGGTTATCTTGGAAATAATACGAAATTTATAATAATCTTCATAGAAGCATCTGCATTTAATAAATTTTACTTGTTAATCTGAATCAGCCTTGTAGGTGTCGCTGCTTGAAAACCTTTATAGAGGTCACTGGCGACTCCAGTCATACAATTGAAATTAGGTATAGGCTAACTTTTTATGATATTCGCCATATTTTTCATGATGGTCTATATTGTGTTGACAGATAAATGATGGTTGATTGGACTACCGGACCAATTGCTTTAAAATATTCATTAAATGAAGATTGTTGTTGTCACTAGAAAACTGTTACTTTTATTTATTTTGAAAATTTCTTTGGAATCCATGGGATTCGTTTTTCGATTTGAAGAAGAAAATTGCGCACCGTGTGGCAATTCTGCTATTATAGTCAGCGGTGCTTCAGATCCGATGCTTTACGAATTCGGGAGTTTTGATAAAGTGGACGACCGGTACAGTAAATGGTGTGATACTACAGCTGTGCCTCAAATTATTTGGTAATACCATAATAATACCACGTCGAAACTCGATGCATGAATCATCATCGGCAGGACAGTTCGGGTACCGGTACGGGCATTGATAAGTTACGGTGGCTGTTCCACAGTTCCAGCCTCGTTCAGGATATGATTTTTTGAAGAATTATGAATACAAATTTGCGTGCTAGCCTTCATGTCCATATATTTGAACATTGTGTGAAAATCATGGAATTACTTAGTTTGAGTTTGCAGTATTAATTCCATTGTAATACAATGCAAAAAATATATAAGTTTGATGTGTGAGGTTGATATATGATTTATAACAGTGGGTTTCAAACGTTTTAAGCCGCACCTCATTTTTAGAATTTTCGTCTAGAAATTTAGAAGTCTCGCGCCCCACTTCGATATAATTAGCTAACAATAAGCTAGAAACAACGGATAGTAAGGCGAAAGCATGTTTAATTCAAAAACACGTTGAAAATACATGGATGGAACGTAAATAATAAAATAAACCAAAAGGGCATGATCAAATCTAATAATTTTTTATTATTTTCAATTAGCTTCAGCCCGCCTTTATAAAATTGTCTACGCCCACCTACCACTGATTTATAATATATATACAAAAATTTCTTCTTTTTGTCGATGTGATGAGAACATATGGCACGCACCAGTATATTCAACTATCTTGTGTTACAATATCTTACGCAATCTTGAGGCAGTGAAAACCGACACAAACCGGACTAAACCAGTTTACTGTGATAAAATCGAATACTTGCCCGCAACATTGAAATAAAAGTATTATGAACTATCACGAATAAAACGAAAATATCATTTGGAAATAGGATAACATCGAACGAACAAGATCTGATCTAAACAAATATCAGTGGTTCGCCTAAGTTCCGCGAAACATGCCATATAAGTTTTTTTTTTCGAATTTAACAATAGGATCTATTTTAGATGTGTAGTGTCTATTATTTTTATTTATCAAAAACAAAATTACAAAGTACTAAGTAGAGAATTACGTGATTTTCAAATATACATTATATGAAAACCGATATAAATTTACTTATAAATAACGTTTTCATTTAAAAAAAAATGCTAAACACGGAATATTTTAAAACAGACCATATTACCGTTCTCTGGAATGCCTTGCAAGGCACTAGATTCATAAATTTCAATGAAGATTACATTTGACTGAATTTTCTTGCTATCGACTAGTCACTAGTATAGGTAAAAATAAAATAAAAACGCGCTATCGACTAGCTAGGTGGTCATATTTTGGGGGAGGGCTTATATTAAAATCATTTTAAAAATTCAGGCTAGGTCTTATTTTAGAGAAAACACGATAGGTCTTGATATTTTCGCTAGTCGCAAGTAAGAGTAAATTTGATTGAGTAGTGGTGGGGCTTCGAGCGTCAATAATATTTCCATGTTTTTAGCTTACTTGAGTATGTAACGTACGTTAACCCTGGCAAGCTTCTCTCCGTAAGTGTTCGCAGGCCATCAATCAATTATTCTTTCTTCTGTACCACAGAACATGATGATACTTTTACAGTGTTTACACAAAAATAAAATTCATATAAGTCAATAAGGAAAGCGAGCATTGTCTGAAATGAAGTTAAAACGTACATCAATATATACGCGTTCACGTAACCTAAATGAAAAACACTCGAAGAAACAAAACGTATAAACATGAATGCTAATCATTATCAATATTTTTGTGGATAGGTACAATGAAAATCGTCGAGTACTGCCATTAAAGCAAACAGTGTCATTTACATTATTTCTATATTTCATAAAAATGCACATTCTAGACACAAACTTCAAAACCTGTAAATGAATAACATATTAGCCTATAACATTTTGCAATAAACCGATATTCGTGATATGCGAGTAATTTTCTCGTGGGAGATTTCAGATATGTTTTGTTATCGCCGTAAGTATATTGTGTTGACGGTAAAGAGCCATCAATTCATCTCAGTATTCTAAATCGGATTCGCCAGCCCTAAACTGGATGCTCTGAAAATCCCTGGTCGCACTTTCCCAACTGTTTTTCTTGAAGGACATACTGTACCTTTTGATCCTTAATTAAATACTTCGTTTTAACGTGATCTCGAAGCTGACGATTCTTAGTTTCCCGATAAACCGAGCACACCAATATATTTTTGTAACACTGTTGCGCTCCTCTATCAAATCTCGCAAACCAAGTTCCACCTCCGGTTAGTTATTTGTGTCAGCTGCATGGGCTTGATGATGGAGGAAGCCGGCCTACGTGAACCACCCTTAAGCGGCAAGGCGTTCAGAAATCCTCCGCACGTGACTAACCCCAATTATGCTTTTCATTCTAAAATTTTTTGATTAAGAATTGTCCGAGGGGCCTGGAACTTTACTGGACAATAGTCACAACACCTAAAACTTAACTCACGTCTCACCGCTATGACAAGAAATTTAGGTTAAATTAAAAAATCCCTTAGCGACTGCCAGTCTTTCTTGAATACATATAGTAATAAAGTACGCGCAAAATAGGTAAATTTATTTTGTTACTCTTCTGGAATCATTGAAAATATAAAGAAAAAAGTAGCTTCTGAGACGATACCACATACATTCCATATATCATAAATGCGCAACACAACGGCTAAAATATAGAAAATAAGGCACAATGTCGATACTGCCTGCTAAGATCAGGATAAGATTTTCATGTTTATACCGGAGAATGGAAAAACCAACAAGACGGTTTAATCACAGCCTCTCGTCTGGCATCAGATCAGTTAACCAGTTATTTATTTCAAATTCAACGGCTTTGTATTGAAGCCTCTAGTTTCCCAGGTAGAGGCTACAATACAAGAAGTAACATAGTCTAGCAGTAATGAAAGATTGCAGGATAAAAAAGAATGGACTGAAGCTTGAAATGGCTCATATACCTAGTAAAAATTGGTCTTAAATGGTTGGCGGTGAGACAAAAATATCATATACTAAGGAAAATATATATAATAAATAAAGCCACAAAAATATATGCAATATTGCACAAAGATATATTTCTTAAATGAGAATAATATTAAGAAATAAAATATAATAATTATTTCTTTATAACTTGAAAAATACTTGGCGTCTGATATATTAAAATTAAACTCCCTCAAAAGGCATAATCAGTAAAATAAGTTCAAAGAGAAATACAGTAATAAGCAAAGTAGATGAAAAGAAATCATCCAGGGGACATTTAACAGACCGAAAGAATCGTTTTTAAAAGCAAGTCCCATAGAGCAAGATGTGAAAAAAGGTCTGGGAAGCTATATTAAACCCAAACAATTTAGAATCCTGCAACTCCAAATCTTCTCGTTTGAGCGGTTAGTAATATAGAGCCTTCCGCGAAGATGAAGGAGTGCAAATCAATTCATATATAATGTATTTTTGTTATTTGTATTTCTAGAAGTCTATTCTATTACATGAGTACCATTCAAACACTATATGATACATGGCAGTTTTAGCTACTCAAATACAATAAATCAGTAGTAATAGGAATTAAAAGTCATTGAAAATGAAACTAGTTACAGATATTGAAAAAGATGTGTTTTATTATTTCTTTTTTATGCCACTTTTCACTGTTTAGTGGGAAAAAGTAAATCATCCCTAAAAGCAATTTATCGGTACAAATTTATTAATTTGAAATATATTTCATCTGCGAAGGTTAGGCCAAAATTACAAGGACCGGTATTTTTTTGCAGATAAATAAGCAATATCGTTGCATGTACATGTATTTTATTTTATGAACTACTATTAAAGAGGCATGATGCAGAGATGATTTAAAATTGAAAAAAAAAGCAAGGTGACGTGAAACTGAAGTATTCAGGAAGTAGTCAAATACATCATGACTGATCACCATTTCACTCATTCCTCATGGGAGTTGAAAATTCATTATTATCTCTTTCAAATATTTAAATATTTAACAACATGAAAGCACATACAAACATGACTGAGAATAAAATCGATATATCAAATACTTCAAAGTTTTCATGAAATATGAACATGTCTTGAAAAATAGCTTCCAACGTCCATCCAAGACCACTTGCTTTCTAACCAAGATGTTCCGTTTTTCCCAGTGTGGTGTTGTGATGACATAATATGATTTGCCGTCACGAAGGCAATGCAAACTATCGCCCAAATAAACATGGCTATTATCCATCCTCTTCGTTTGAATGGTGATCTGGAAATAGATAAAATGATAAATTTTAGAAAACTCATTTAGTGGTAGTTAACAACTTTTATCTCTGATTTTCAAAGGGCTTAGGGTTCGGTATAAATAGAAGTCTAAAAATGCATTGTCGGGAATAGATAGACATAATATACCTAATAGTATTTGGCAAATGCAGATAACAATGAATCAAAATGATACATCTAGTTCACTATCCCGTAATTTCGAATTTGTCTAACATCAACACACAGAGTAGAGATACAAATGAAACACCCATAGAACATTTATAGTGGTTTTTGTTTTTTTTCTATCTCCGTAATAAACTAGATACCAAAGATATCGGCAGACTCACCTATTTGTATTCTTTGAAGCTACACTCACTCCTAATACTCTGTTTGCATCCTGCCTTGCGAGCAATACTAAGAAAGCAGGTATAATATATTGCACACCACTTCCTGCATATGATCCAGTGTATCCAACTAATGCAGTCAAATCATTGGTGACAAAAGCTACAGCTACTGGAGGCACAATAGTAAGTATTGGAAAGAATATTTTGTCAATAACGAAAGGATACGGCCTTGATCTGTTGCAATTGAACATTGCCTGTAACAACAAACAGAAAATAGTGTATTTCACGAACGTGCAGTTTAGTTCACAAATGATATACAACTGAACTGAATTAAGACTAAATTAATAGAATTAATATAATAAGAAAGCAGCATAAGCAGGGTTTCTCATATTTCTATCAGGGGGAGGAAACGTCATTGAATAATAATCCAATATGGAGCAGAAGGACAACTAACCAATTCAAAATTCACTTGGAAAAAGAACTTTCTTTAATTCAATTTCATTCACACCAAAGATATTCCTGTGGGAAAGTCAGATAACTTAACACCACCATAAATAATACCTACCTTCAAATTATTTCTCAAAGTAACAGCAATAATAGGGAAACTAGTTCCGAGAGTAAATACTGGGAATAATCCAAGAAAATAACGAAGAAATGTCTTGTCAGTAACATCACATGAATCCTGGAAAAATATTGAATAAATATTCAAACTCAATATATCAAAATTTGCCAAAACAATGTCATTCACGCTAAAGTAAGTAAAGACGTCTCATTAAATTATGAATAAGAGTTTTTTGGCGGCATAAATTAGTCCCCTGCAAAAAAGACCAACGGGGTGGCTGATAATGAATACTAAAATAACGTAGGTCTTAGAAGTGATCCCTGATGTTCTCTCAAAAATTGAGACAATCAAGATATAGGCTACATTAAAGTTAGATAGCATAGTAGTAAACATTAACCACAATCACACTTTTGCAGCCTTATCTCATTTTATAATATTTCAGAGTCACCAGTTAGCCCAATCACACATTGTTGTGAAATATCACAAAAGCCTACTAAAGACAGCCATCATGGGAAATACCTATCATTATACTATAGTTCCTGGACGCCTTCCTAAATCAATCCAAAGTATTGAAGCCAAAAATATGCCGGAAAATACTAGTTTCGAACGAACAAACGATTAAAAGATTGGTTTATTATGATATTTTCTCACCTGAAAGTTCAAAGTATACATATCCATAAGATTTTCATTATCAAATGCATAAATCGCAGTTAGACAAAGCAGCAGGTAAAACATCAAAATAACTGAGTAATCAGCAGCTAATAGTTTTGATAGAAAACCTTTGTTTCGGATTGGAGTGATGAGTGAAGGCAGGGAATGTTGGCACATAAACGAATATACACAAACTCCAAATAATACTGGAATTCCATCAAATTCAAAAGGTTTTGGGTGGCCTTGACCTTTGCCCTCTGATATTTTGATTATGGTTAATGATATCATACTGATGAATGCTGCAATAAAGGTAAACGAGTTCTGTATGATAATAAATATTAAAAAGGGAGGGATTCTGTACAAGATTTTCAAAAATATGTGACATCTTCGAGACTAAATTTTAAAATTGATAATAATTAAATAAGAACTAAAATCTGTACAAAACTATAATTCAGGAAATTTTCTAAATCTGACGAGTCTGAGTCAGATGTAAATTTATTCAATAAGCATGGAAGAGTATTTTCACAAAGAATAATCATGATTACATTAGCATAATGTTCATTTGGGGCTCCCGAAGTATGCGAACCAAGATGGCGGACATCGGAATGTAATATGTGTACTAGGTTAGAGTTAGGCCATAATTTTAGGTATAAATACTACGGGAGGCTCTTGGTAGTCTTCGAACTGATAATAGGACTAAAATATAGAAAATTGGAAAAAAAATTATCGCCTAATCCTAACCTGTTACCCATGTTACGTTCCGATGTTCGCCATCTTGGTTCGCATACTTCGGGAGCACCATTCATTTTTTTAGAAGAAATTGGTACTTTTAACAATTTTATATACCACTTGAAAATATCCCTAGCCTACTGAAGTACAAGATATCAAAATATAACTGGACAATCACTATTGCGTCCCATATTTTCCAGTAATATGAGGCGGACTGATATGTCCTTGAAAAAAGCAACAAAGACCACGAACAAGCATCATAATATTAGTATACTCCCTCTAAAAAAGCATAAAAAAATCTACTCACCAACCCATCTAAGAACCGAAGTACTGAGTTGAAGATATTTTGTTTTCTGAACATTGAAAAATGTAAACGGTCCAAGGACTAACACGAATCCACCCTGAGTGAAAATTTACAAATATTAAGTTCAATTGAATCATGAAATGGAAAAAACAGTTTAAATTCGAAGAATAAAACAAACTGTATACTAATACTTTTTTAAAAACGCTGCATATTTGAATAGCAATTTGTATTAAGATATGGGATAGAAATGTTCGAACTTTGTCATGCTAATCTCAAACATGCTGCTGAATACCATGATAAAAGACGTTATCTGAAGCGAAGCATATATGCTATCTTTTATTACTATTGCCCAAAATGTATTGTAATGTAAACAGTCTTAATAAAACACTGGCTGGAGGTGAGGCAAAAGAAGTAACTTTGATTAAATAATGTATATTTACCAAAAATATCCTGTAAGCATCTCCCCTTGATATATTAGGAGCCCAACATATATCACTATCTTTAGGTTCTGTGTGTGTTGCATTCAACGAACTGCAGGATAAATTACCACTGGAAATAAAACATCATCTTTTAAGAGTTTGCAAGAATTAGGATTACCAAAACAAAATAAATTAGTACTGTATAGTGTATATTGAAAACCCTTTTCAAGTATTGGATTATAAAGAAAACTAAACATTCATCCTTTAAACATCATTGTAAAAGATAAATCATAACATGCAATCAAATAGCAATTTTCATATTTATTCCATACGGCAAACCTAAGCTTTCCTCAGATATCAGTCTGAGTTGACTATGGCAATAGCAAGCTAGTTTAATAGATATACGGATGCAAATGCTCTTATACATATTTACTTCCTTTAGCATATCTAGCGGAATTCCGCCTATTGTTTAGGACAATGAGTCAACCTTTCAGGTAATTAAGATGTCATTTTGATTGTTACTTATCGATTTTAATCGGTAAGTATGTTGATAGGTATTTGTCTGTTAGATGCATGCGATATCTCACAAAAGCGAGATTGAATCTGCTCCAGATTTTGCATGTGCATTCATCTTATGTCGGACCAGAAGCCTATCGATTTTGGATGAATTATGTCGTATAATTAGCGAGTTATTAATTAATTAGTGATGGCGATGGGACAAAAGGTGTCACTATGGAGTAAGAGCACTGTTTTGGGGGATCCCCTAACTTTCGATCGATAAGTCTTTGGTCTCTGACCGATATTATCGTTATTAGAGAGTTGGTCAAAATAGACGGGACATAATATTTCAACGCTAATTTTCTAAAATCTCAATACCTCGACATGAATATTTTAAGAATCAACATATTTCTAGTGATTGCATGCACAAAAATTGTGACTATTGATGTTTTGACATGGGTTGTTCACTTCACACAAGCTAGCTGTTTGTGCATTGTAATGTCATAGGATAATAAATTGGACTCGGGTATAGACTTTGCAACACAAAGGGATTGGAATTATTCACACATACCAGATAAACTAAATTAAACACTCGTTTTGGGAGCCGCATACCATTCAAAATTGACACTTATCTGTAGGCCACACAATGTAACCCACAGGCTGCACACGCTTGTATTGATCCACCAGCAAAGTAAAGACGAAAATAGCAATATAAACGAAGTACTATTTATCTTTATAAAATTTGTTATCAATATTATGGCTGATTACCCAGTACAATTGAACAATGCCACTCAAGTTAACTCGATAGCTTGCACAGAATAAATATTTACCAAGCGATATCTCGCAATGTCTTTGGAACAGCCGCTGCATATATTGCTAGATCACCATATAAATATATTGATATACAGAGGTAGAATAAGATACGTCCCACTGAAACAAATAAAAATGAGTGTGTAACAACATACATTATAAAGTAAATAACTGACAAAAAAAAAAATTTAGCGAATTTAATTTAATAGTATGCACAATATGCAAAAAGCGAATACCTCTATTGAAAAACATATCAGCCATTTGTCCCATTTCAATTCTTTCATCAATTTTGAAATAATCTTCCTGAAGGCTTGACCTTGGAGTGTTTTTATTGTATTTTCCTGTAAAAGTAACACCAAATAAATAAAGTGTAACAACCATCTAAAACAAAGAAAGAGTCATACTAGACATTGTGACCTCATCTTGTACAGCTAGCAATACAAAGTTGAATAACATTAGCCGTAAATAGAGTTGGCTGGCGACGCCGACGACATTATAAAACATATCAAGCCAGAGATAATTAGGCTCAGGAAGGCTTGTGCAAAAAAATAGGTCGACCGAGAAAAAATCAAAATGAGTCTAGTCTCCCAATAAATTGAAAATCAGGTTAAAAATTGGGACCAGAAAATAGTATTAATAGTTACGAAAAATACGATAGATAACATATCACAACCAAAATTACATAATATTATGACATGATTTTACTACTTCCGTATGCGATTGCGAAAACTTAAATTTTGCAAATCCTTGCATCTGTCTGTTATTTTGAAACACCCCGATTCAGAGCTAGGTTATGCCCCCTTCCCCCCTCAAAAATAAAAACATCAGAAAAGCAAAAACCTTGATAATTACGTTCTAAATGAGTTGTATCCAGCAAAGGTCTGGTTTCACTGAAATTATCATTCCCATTGTTTGTATTTGTGCTTTCATTCGGTGGAAATATTACATTGTCATCTGCATTGTCATTCTCTGTGAAGTAAGGATCTGATGATGAAGTATCACCATCATTCTGAAATTATATATATTGTAATAGTGATTACTATACAAGTTACATAGATGTGAGAATAGGGATTCATAAAATTTGGAACCAGGATAGTGGTGTCGGAAAAAAAATTTGACTCCGACTTACGCTTCAAACTCATAAATTTTAATACCGAAAACTTTGGCCATGACTCTGGAAATTCAAAATTTTGACTATGACTCCAGACTCTGGTTCTACAGCCCTATTTAGATTCTAACTGAATAAAGTCTGATTTGGAAATGTGCCCTTCGTGCTTGCAGTAATTGTGAGCTTGAGTTGACCGAATACCATAAAACAATGAGTTTGGCAATGGCAACAATGTTTATACATTCCAATTTATAAATTTACTTTTGGACCTATATCTACATTAATTTTTTTCTTGATATGGTTATTGAATGGATGAAAGATAAGTAAAATAACAATAAATAAGAGTTGAGAGATAACATTAGTTGAAAAAGTAAGTTTGCAAATTAATCGTTACTCCAACAACATATTACAGGCATAACAGATTAGAATATAAAATATATTTATTAAAACTTAAAGATTAAAAAAGCAGAAAACAACTAAAATAATATTCTATGTCAAGTTATGCAGATGTATACCGGTAAGTGCAAATCAACATAAAATGCTAGCTGTTAGTGTTGATTTTATAAAGGTAAATTGACTCATACAACATCAAACAAAACATATGCAAATATAGTTGATAAATCAGCCAATCAAAATTCGTCTTATTAGAGGTTGGTCTACCGTAATTATTATTTAAAAACAAACACACATAAGAGAAAAATTTCAAATTATGTATCATGGCTGAACTAATCCAATTCCATAATAGAAAAATTTTACTTTCAACATTATTTTTTTGAATAAAATAATTAAAGAACTAAACAGGTTTAGTTTGATTATTGAACAATCTGGAAATTTTGCTTTTTGGCTAGTTAGATATTTAATATGTTAATGCTATTGCTAACATATATGCAGGATTCTAGAAATTACTGTAATTTCATCGCAAGAAAATTATATCCTCGACAGTTTCATTATATGGTAATTACAACATCACTAATTTTAGCATTTAGTAATACACAAAACATAGCCCAAGTAATCAAATAATGAATAAGTTAAAAATCGATAATAGTGGTTTATAGCTTAATAAGAACTGTTTTGTGTCTACCGTAAATGTTTCAGACTTGAATCATGCCATGAAATTTCTAAACTATCAGATGACTTGTACGACTGACCATGTAATTTCCTTGCGATGAAATTACTGAGTCTCTGACAGTAGAGAGGAGAGTAAAAACATAAATAACCAGAATTATCAACATACAACAACAACTTTTGATCATGCAGATTACTCTCAATTCTCATTCCGTGCAAATAATTATAGAAATTAGAGAACACACTCTACTAACCAATACATACGATCTCGCTACCGAGTTGCGTACTCGACGATTTGTCTAAATGGTTATGTAATATTATTCATAATAAATTAATTATGAATAAAGAAACTGAAATTTTAACTTTGCATTTTAGCATCTCATAAAATTAAACCATGTGTCCATGTTATTTACAAAACATTGAAAAGTAATATAATTATATAAAAAGAAAAAGTGTTTTTCATTTAGTTTGTAATGACTTAAACATAGATGAATAATCATCAATAATACAATTGACAATAACAATTAATTGACTGAGTTAAGTTAAATTTACCACAACATGCAAAAACACTGTCAAAATGTCAAAGTTTACAACGATTCAATATGATGTAAACATGCGAAAGTCAACTCTTTAATATAAGAACAAATATATCTGTGCAAAGAATATTTTATCATTGTTGTGGTAACATGAAAAAATAATTTGTGATCAATCTACTAAAATTATTTAAATAAAAGACATTTGGTGACAATTTTGTCATTCCATTTACTATGGTAATTGTTCAATCACTAAAAAGTGAAACCATGCGTCATTGTCCTATCGATTAATGACAATACCAAAGTTTCAATACCATTTTCACGTACCTTTTTATCGTGTCGTAGCTTTGCATTCGCAATCGCCATTACTTCAATAACAAATGTTGTTGACATATAACTGAAATAAAATATAAATTTGCTTGTTATTATTTTAATAACTTTCCAGTAAGTTGGACATAAATAAGCTAATCATGGAAGCACACTTGAACCAACGGGGGAAAAGAAAGTTCATAAGATGGCTCAATCATATATGGCGAACCAAGGCCTCTCATCTGGTTACCAGTATTTGTCGGGTATGGGATTAGCCAATAATTTGTTTTAGGAAACATGAATTTGATGGCGGAGGAGCACTGACTGACCAGGGATCACATGAACCACACTACGGTGGTGAGGAGTCAAGCAATCCCCGAGTTTAGTTTAGATCGAAGTTCATTCATTAGGATCAATAACCATTTTCGAACAGCTTCAAACATTTTGTGTTATCCAATAAGGCTATTTTAGAAGTGAAGTAGTTGAAATGAGACTATAATTACTTCATTTAATAAATCTTCATTTAATAAATCTCGCTTGGGTTTCCTGATACAATTGAACTTCGCAATTTTTCTTGAATGATTAAATGATTTTTTTCCCTAATACCCAATGAAACTTACCTCATAAATGCAAGAAACAGTATAAGAACGATTCCAGCTGCCCATCCAGCTGAGGCAAAAGCTTTGGGCATAGTTAGAGCTCCCGTGCCAACAATGAGATTAAAAACATAAATGAATCCCATCTGAAAACATAAAATGGAATTTCAAATTTGTATCTTATGTACCAAAAATCTAAATCGTAATTCAGTAATTGCGATTTGATAAATAACAGAGTAAAGAGTCCACAGGTCTAGGCAAGGTAAAAATGGTGGGTGCTTAAATAACAGGTAACATAAAATTGATGTTAATTAAAAAAACTGAAATTTGGGCCGTATTTTCATATCACATTTTTTGCTGGACCCCATACAGCCATAGGTACCGGTACAGCCACAACGAATACTGGCAGACTGGGAAAAGGTCATTTGACAAAAGTAAAATCTAATTTCTGTATTTTAGTATTTACAACCATGTTCAAGTTCCAAAGCATGATTGATAGTTCTATGTTAAATCTATTGCTATATCGGTACCGTAGCGAAGTAATTGAATTATTCGGCAAACATGTCAAATGCTAAAATGCAAAGGCCACTTATGTGCAACTTATTTCGTTATTATTAAAAACAAACGCAACACTGAAAAAGAAAATATCTTACCATTGGTGAATACATAGCTCCTACATTCGCTGATTCAGGCATCCTGCTTTCTCAAAAGGTCCACCAATGTGAAGCAAAGTAGCTAGTCTATAAAGATAAGAATTAACAATTGATTAAAGATAAGAATCAGAATTGACTAACCTACGGTTAAGCCGTTCATCGCTACCACACCGGTCACTTACTGAATACAGCGCAGAACAGAGGGCAACAGCGACTCCAACTGCATTCGACTCCAATCCAAACCAGACAGCCGTCAGTTGATAAAAGCGGGACAAACGGGGGAAATAAGATTCTGGTAAGAGTGGGAGTGGTGACTGTGACTCTTCTACGGCCAATGGGCCGGGGCCACGGCCATCGAAATGGGCCTTGGCCCATCAAGTTGTGTAATGGGATGGAATAATAGAGACTAATAAATATGTAAATCCTACCTGAATCCTACCCACTCCCCGAACTTATAATAGAACTATAATGTGGAAAATCTGAACAAACTTTTGTCCTAACCCTAACCTGGTACACATACTTCAGGTGTATCCTTTTCTGTAGCTTAGTATTTTGCTTTATTTTTATGTAAAGGCTTATCGTAAGAAAAAGGTTTGGTGGCATCCCGCGATTTTTTTTGGGTTCGAATATTGACAATTTTGTAAGAATTGAAAACTTTGGTAAGATAATTGAATTTTTTCTGATGGGCCGTGGCCCATAGCCCCGGCCCATGGGTCACCACCCCTATATAATATTTATTGGACACGTAGTGAACATAGCGATCGTTCCAATATTATGTTGTGGTTGTTGTTCTTGTTTTTATTTTTTGACACGTTTTTAAAAAGTCACCTTTCTCTTTGATTACTGGACCAATTGCTTTGAAATTTTCAGTGGCTAAAGATGAAATTTTTCTCCAGAAGGCTATTACTTTTATTTATTTCAAATATTTCTGTTAGCTCTGTGAGATTTGTTTTTGTTTGCTATGACGTCACTAAACGTTCTGCGGACATCGGATGCCATTTTGTGTCCAACGGACCATCTTGCAATTTCAAGTCACGCTGTCACAAGACAGGATAATTCTAAAGATAGAGATGTTCTGGTACCAAAACACAGCGCGGTGACACTGAACTAACTCGTAGCTGTCAAAAGCTTGAAAATCCATACAAATATCAGAGATAAAAAGATGAAACTTGGCAGGTGGGTAGAATTGTGTTTCTGTTAACCATATTTGAAAGTTTCGCGTTTCTACATTTGAAGGAGGGGGAATAGGGGGTGCGCATTTCCGATACGTCGATAATATCTTTGTCAACCAATTTGAGACCACCGTGTTTTTGTCTGTTTGATTGCTGTGATGTGGTGCTTTGTTTATAATTTAACGAGTTTTGTTCGAAATAACCATGTTCTTAAAATATATGACGGTCAGAAATGCAATTAGAAGCCCAATGTTTTCACGCTGTCACAAGACAGGAACTTCTAAAGATAGAGTAGTTCTGGTACTGTAACACAGCGCGGTGACACTGAACTAAATCGTAGCTGTTAAAAGCTTGAAAATTCATACAAATATAAGAGATAAAAAGATGAAACTTGGCAGGTGGGTAGAGTTGTGTTTCTTATAACCATCTTTGAAAGTTACTTCTCTCCTCCGTGATAAATATGCAAATCCTATCCTAATACGTCGATAATATCGTGTTTTGTCTGTTTGATGGCTGTATGGCTGCGTATGCGTAGTCTTGACGCAGCAGAAACGATGCTCAAGGCTTGAAATCCGTGTTCGCACACTGTTCATTCGGTCGCAAATACGTCTTCCAAGTGTCGTACTTGGGGTATAGCTTTAACCCTTGGTTGTAAGAAAGTTAATTCGAGGTTTAGCGTTAGAATAAATGCCAATGCACCCACGGTGGAAAAATTAACGGGTTAGAAATATTGGTTTTTGTTTAAGAGCGGTTGGAATGAAAAATTCCACAGACTGGCTACATCGCCCTAGGCCTGGTGAGTTGTCCGTGTAGTCGAATTGTCCTTCAGCCCTAAACGGCTATGACAGTCACTGTATCGAAATTTGTACCCCGATTCGGGTGGGTGTTGAGTTGACGCATGTTATTTTAGTAAACGTTTTTATGTGAAATGTTTTGACTGTGGTTCCAGGTACCTGATCCCGATAATAACGGTACATAATTGACTCATATCACGAGATATTTCAACTGATGTTTCAATTGTCACAGGACCTAAAATATCTATGACAGTCTCTGTACCGTCACGGTACCCCGACACAGGTACTGGTAAATCACCGCCGGTATGTTAGTCGTTGGTCACCGCATATGATTTTGGGGATTGTTCTGCGTGTCCATATATTTTGAGCATTGCTCTCTTGTGAATAGTTATAGAAATATTTTAGAACATTCTTATTAACAAATAGAATTTTTGCCGTTAGACAAGCCGATCAAAACGTGCGATATTGAAACTACAGAAGCAAGCTGCACAAAAAATATTTAGGTCTCTTTTAGATATCAGCATGAACATGTAATGTAATTTTAAACAAAAATGATCTTCGCAAATGATTCTATAACCTTAAAGGGATGTAATGGTGATATCCATTGGCAGAGGCGTGGCGAACGTCTCTGCCGCACAAGACGAGTATCAGATGATACCCCTTTCTTTACCCATTCCAACAAGAATAATTCGGGAGTTAAACAAATTATAGCTAGGCAAATATTCTGGAAATGTAAAACAATTGAAATTGGAAAATAAATACATCGATAAAGATATTAATATGGATTAAATAATATTTACTATATTTTACGTTTTTATGAGACATTGAATAATTACTTACTTTATCCCGATTTGTAAGATTGACATTGCCTTGATTCACTGTTCCTGGTAGAATCTGAATTATAAGGTTAAGTTAAAAAAGGCAGAAATTCAGGTGCTCCCGAATTATGTGTACCGGGTTAGGATTAAGCCATAATTTTGTTCCGATTTCCATTGTTTTAGTTCTATCACGAGCTCGGGGACTGTCAGTGTTAGACAGTCATTATACTCCTGTCCATAGGTTTTAGTCTCTTTACACAAATCGATGTAAAATAGGCGAACAAACTTAGTTATCTTTTTATTGGTACTCACACTTCGGGAACGCCGAAATATTTTTACAAGAAAAATAGCTATTCAGATATCTGTGGCTATTTTACCAAGTGCGCTGTTATGGGTGATGAACAGACGACTCCTCTCTTCCCAGTGAGTTATTGATGAAACATGATCCTTATTGTAGGAAATGATTCAACGAACTGGCTGAGTTACATTCTTCTTAGAAAAACGAAAACCGTATGCGACCCACCAGTCCACCATTTACAATACATCGATCTGTCGTCACTAGACATCAGCTGTAACAATGTTTTCGGCCCTCGCAAAGCGCTGTAATCGGATTGAAAATTATAAGATCCTTACCTTTCAAATGAGGTGATAAACTTTAGTTTAGATGTCAGAACATTTCACACCAACTACCTACATTTTTTATTTACATCGATCAATCGTCACTCGACATCAGCTTTAACATTATCTTCTGCCTTCTTCGTGCGCTACCTAATCGCATCAGAATAAATTATTATTTATAAATTTTCAAACTCTAGCTTAGTCTAAAAAGAACGAACCTGAAGAATGAGAATAAATTAGCTGACGTACTTGTAACCCTACCTTACCTGCCTTAAAACTTTGCATATACTTGAAACACACTAGCGCAGAGAATACCTCGTGCTACCAGGCCCTGGACTGAGTTATTTTTTGAAGGCCAAAAGAGACGAAATAGGGGCAATATCAAGAAGGAGATGTTATTTATAATAAAGAAACAAAGAAAATGCAATCTCTTTCTCCTTCTAATTAGTAACCAAGGATTGTTTTTCACTATTTGATTCAAAGAACGTATTATTCCGGAACGTAACTGAGGAGATTGTCTGATTAGGTCTCATTCCATGAAAGATTTATGAAGACAACTATTTGTTTGTTGTTATTCTATTTGTATTTCGTTATGTGAAAAATGTTTTAGGAGTCACAGACCCATAATAGGGCATTGGTGACTTATGTGACTGCTTTCCGCAGGGTAATTAATTATAATCGGAATTGACGAGGTCATTGTCTTATTGAAAATCGCCTATGAATCCTATGCTACCTAGGCTATGTTCAGATGGTCGACGGAACTTCACTCCGTGTTGTCAGAGCTAGGCGTTATCTTCGGTATTTTGAGACAAAAGCCTTGTAATTGTGTAAACATACCCAAAATTTTTGCTTTTCTCGTAGCTATTGAAACAATACAAGGTGCTCATAAAGTCCCTTTACTATTTCAATTTTGTTATGAAGTCCGTTCCTAATATAACTTATATATAATATAAACAGGTTTGTTGCTTTTAATCACTAATTGTTCAAGTATTTTTTCTTTTATACATCTGTGAGGGCAAAATTTCTAAATGGTATTCCTTTAGCAATTATTTCAAAAAAATTATTTCACTTTATGGACACCCTGTGTCCTTTAATTCAACACCTTAATATCTTGTTGATCATGGGTCACTTTAAACAATATTGAAAATATTCTTTACTTGTGAAAAAAAAATCGAATCCATTGGAAATTCAATTCATCCTCGCACCACTATGCACATACGCCATGGACATGTGTTTCACCCAGTATTTCAGTGGTAAAAGCATAACGATATCTCACATATAAACCACGAAATGCAATAAATGCTTGATTTTCTTGTATGAAATCCATGACCACTCCTTGATAATACAGTTTGCATATGTTGGTCATATCTGTATTGGATCTAAGCAAGTCAAAACTCTATTACTGTCGACTAGAATTTTTACATTATTTGTCGATTCGAAATATTGAGTTGTAGAGTCCTTCCTACCATAGCTATCAGTTGGGCGATGCCCAAAACAGGGGTTGTTTATGTCGGATACAAAAATGCATGTGCTACTGTTCAAGATAAGCAATTGCCTGGCAGTCGCGAATCTTTTGCTAGCAAACTGTCACCCAACTATTCACATTCCGCCTATGAATTATTCTATAGCTTTTATCAAGTTTTCCAGTCCACTAGCTCTTACGTTACGCGAGTCCAATTTGATATATTTAGGAAAAAAGTCAAAGACCTAAAGAGCAATGCACTGTTCGATAAAACCCAAATTTTGGTGCTGAGGATTCCCGAAGTATGCGAACCAAGATGGCGGACATTGGAACGTAACATGGGTAACAGGTTAGGGTTAGGCGATAATT